AAAAAAAAAGTAATAGATGCAGACGCGACCGACAGCTAAATCCGAACGGTGTGAGTCATGACGCTCTCTGGCATAATTATGTATAAAAAAACATCAATGGAGACGAGCGATGACTCGTGGGATACTAATCTCATTTTTATTTGATTGTTAGTGAGTTATGTCAAACACGCAGTCTCTAACTCTCTCACTTATCCAAAATTCCATCAGATTCGCTTGCCGGAGCCACTGGCACAACCCATTGAAAGCGCACTCACATCACTTTAAGCACAACACGCACCCACAATCCGCAAACATCATACCAACAACCCACCACCACCATCACCACCACCACCACGAACATCAGCAAACCGCCAACAACCGCCAACAACCGCCGCCAGCAACACCACCAATAACACCCACTGACCAACCTCGGACAGGCTGCGCTTCTCGCGAATGGCCTTGATGGTCTGCACGGCGAGCTCCGAGTCCTGGCGCATCCACAGCGTCTTCGCCGTCTCAATCAACCACAGGTCAGCAGGGATGGTGTGCGCGTGTGCACTCCGCCGCTGCAAGCGGCGTGCCAGCCCAATGGCGTGGTGGTACTTGTCAAAGCGGCGGCACAGCGCAAGCGTGTCCACCGCACAGCGCTGGAACTGCCGCTCAAGTGCCGTGCGCACATCCTGAAGCAGCGGCGTCGGCTCACCACGCTGCGTCATCATCGCCATCGTCATCATCATGTCTGCCGAGTCATCACCATCCAACTGCAGGCGCGGGTGTGGTGAGGACTGTTTCCTTGTGGCAGCAGCAGCAGCAGCTGTTGTTGTTGTTGTTGTTGTTGTTGTTGTTGTTGTTGTTGCTGCTGCTGATGCGTCGGTCTTCGACTGCACCGTATCCAGCAGCAACTCCAGCAGGGAGAGGCGAAGCGATGTCGCTTCCTCACGCCCTTCAAACCGCTGTGGCATCTGGGCCAGGCGGTGGTCCCAGCGCTCCGCCATGGCACTCAGACGCGTGCCCACGTGCACGTCGTTGGTGTGCAGGCACCTGAGCACGTCAGCAGCCTCCTGCATCTCCGTGAGCATCTGCAGCGACAACAGCTCTTCGTCGATGCCCTGCACGTCCTCAAGCCCACAGGATAGGAGCTGTGCCATCGTTGTGCTGCTGCCGTCGGCCACGTTCGACGCCAACGCGTCAACCGCACCCGAGCGCAGCGCCCGCAGACCCATGAACAGGTGCTTGTGGATGCTCGTTGTCTCTGCTTGCGTGGGGGCGAGGGTGTCCCACTGGCCAAGCCGCCACGCCGACTCATACATGTACGCTGCCTCTGCTGGCGTCTGCTCGCGACTGCCGGTGCGACACAGCAGGCTCGGGATGGAGGCGAGCCCCCAGTGGTGCGCACTAGTCAGCAGTCGCGCACGGGCCGCGCTGCTCTCCCTTGCATCGCCGCCAACCTGCAGAATATCCTCGTGTGCCAACAGCTTCCCGTACTCCTGCTCGTGGTGATACAGCAACATGTGCTGCCGCATGTCGAGCGGGTCCAGGAACGCATACAGCCCATCTGGCTCGTGCAACTGCTGCAAGGACGTCGACATGATTGACCGCAACCGCCGCCACTGCACATGCACGTCGCCAGCAGCACCATCTGTGCTGCCGTTGTTGTCGCTGTTGTCGTTGCTGCCGTTGTTGTCGGGGTTGTCGTTGCCGTTGCCACGACTGCTGCTTGCGGCGGCCGGCATCATGCGAGACAGCCCGCGCATCAGCCGCCCTTGTTCTTCTTGCTGTTTCTGCTGGTGTTGCTGGTGTTGCTGGTGGTGCTTGGCACCCTTTCCTTTTCCATGCGGTGGCTGCTGCTGCTGCTCACGCTCGCGTGCATCTGCCATACGTTCTGCTGCAATCTCGCAGAAGAGCACTGCAGAGTACTTGGACCCGCACACATGCGCAGCGTGTGCCACCTCCAGGTAGTCAAGGTCTCGCAGCCACTTGAGGCTGTCCCAGTGCGTGAGCGACTGCCCGCGTCGCCCGGCCTCCCCACGACTGGCAGACGGCTCGTACTCGATTCGCCGCATGGTGTTGACGAGCGAGAGCAGCGTCTGTGTTGCTCGCCGCACGTCCGCGCTCGCCTGCGCGGTCACAGACGCAAAGTGGCGGTTGAGGTTGCGGCTGATGCTGCGGCTGTGCTCCAGCTGTGGGTCATTCATCACAAGACCAAGCACCACGTACGGCAGAATAAACTCGCTAAACTCCAGGCTGTACCGGCACACGGCCAGCAGCGGCAGGTACTGTGCTTCAAACACGTCGTCCATGGCTGCCGATTCCCTGATGAGCGTGCACACAAGTCGCGTCAGCCACGTCGCGTATGCCAGCCCAGCGGGGCTCCACACGGCCTCAAAATCAAACCGCACATCGCCACCGCGTGCGTGTGGCTGCTGGGAAGCGTCCTCCAAAGAAATGCTGTGCACACTGCTGCTGTTGCTGCTGGAGGTGTGCGCGTTGCGAGCGAAGCCGTCGGTGGGAGGTACAGCGTCACTGATGCTGGGCAGGTGAAAGCGGTGCTTGCTGCCAAGGATGGTTCGAACAGGTTTCAGCACCTTGCCGAGTCGGACACCGCTTTCCTCCAAGACGCGATATTCCCTCAACGCCCGCAATGCAGCCAGCACAACACGCGAATCTTTCCCAGCAACCATCAACCTGTGCGTGTGCATGTATGTTTGTTGTGTGGTGGGTGGGTGTGTAGTGTGTGTTTGCATGTAACGTGTGTATTGTGTGGTGTATTGCGTGTTTGCATGTGTTGTGTGTGTGTGTGAGAGTGTGCGTGTGAGAGAGTGAGTGAGAGTGAGAGAGAGTGTGTGTGTGTGTTCATGGCCACAACATGATGAAATGCATGGCACGCATGGCGTACACAATCACAGCAACGCCACATGCGTGCCGCTGTTGCCCATCCTCCTCCTCCCCTCCTCCTCCTCCTCCTCCTCCTCCTCCTCCTCCTCCTTTTCCTCCTTTCCCTGCATTCTCACACACCGTAGCAGCTGCTCGATGATGCTGATGAGGCGCTCGCTCTCCTGCGAGCTGTACATGTGTTCACTGGTCCGCCCCGCCTCCGCCTCTGCGGGCGCGTACGCCCAGCCAAGCCCCACCTCGCCAATGCACCGCGCCGCGTGCACGGCAACGGTGGTGCTCTGCCCCAACAACGGGGACAGCACGGGCAGCAGGCGGCTCAGGCTGAGTTGCGACTTCTCCCTGTCGCCGCCGCTGGGGTTGTTGTTTTCGGCAACCCACGAGGCCAGCAGCGTGTGCAGGTGTCGCAGGGTGTCCACTTGAACAGCGCCCGGAACACTGCGGGCGAGCGACACAAGCTGCTCCAGCGCAACATCTGCATTCTCTGGTAACGACATGACCTGCTTCACGTTCGAGCGCACATCAGCTGGCAGCGACCGCAGCGAAAACGGGGGTGACACTGATGATGATGTTGTTGTTGTTGTTGTTGTTGATGATGATGGTACTGCTGCTGCTGCAAGCGATATGTCACCCGCTGCGGCAGCTTCGCCGGTGAGCTCGTGTGTTGAGATGATGCGGGGCAGCGCGGGCCGTGTCTCCGCCAACACGGCCAGCACGTTTTCAGCCGAAAATATGGCGCGCAGCGTCATGCGTGCCAATCGCCGGACGCGAGCGGCAACTGCGTGCGGTTCATCACAAGTAACGCCACTGGCAACACCATCACCATGACTATCACGACCACGATCGTCACCATCGCCATCATCTTCACCTTCATCTGCATCGCCGCAAGCTGCACTTGTCCTTGCAGATGGTCCCCTCTTCCACATCACCGCCTCCTGCACAAGCGACGCCTTGGCCACGCGCGCCACCCACTCCTGCTCCTCGGCACCCGCATACACTCCACCAGCGTGACAGCTGTCTTCACCGCCACGGCTCTGCATGGCGATGGTGTCGGGTGTGGTTGTTGCGAGTCGCGCCACATGGTGCATGATCCTGGGCACTGCCGCCGTCAACGCCTGTAGGGCGAACTTTGAGGCGGAATCAGCCATCTCAAACAGCTGTATCAGCAGCTGCATCGCCGTGCATGCTGCTGCACGGTTGGACGCGACACAACGAGGGGCTGTGGCTGAAACTGTGGCGGTGGGTGTGGTGGTTGTCACCATGGTCGCCGTTTCTGTGTGTGCGTTCGCGTCGTCTGAGGACAGTGCCAGCACACACAGCTCGAGCACTGCTTGCAGCACGGGTGCCGTGTAGATGGAGGATGACGAGCTGCCACGCGAGCGGCACCCAAGCACACGCTGCGACTCCAGAATGTCGCACACAAGAAACTTGAGCTTGCGCATATGCAGGGCTTGCATGTCCGGGTGTTGCGTGCGGCACAGGGCATCCCACAGGTCGACAATGGCATCATACACGCTGTCCTGCTCCTTGGTGAGCAGCGATCCCAGTGAACGGCGGGCGGTGGTGCCCTGGCCAGCTGCGACGCATTCAACAAGTGCGACGTGGCACTTCTTGCAGGTGAGCAGCGGCGCCTCTGGGGTGATGGCGCTGGAGCCGCTGCCGTCATCGCTGGAAAAGGGAAGCGGCAGGGCGAGCGCAAATAGGGCGCGGAACGTCTGACCAGTGAACCGCTGCTGTACCTCTGCAGCGTCAAGCCCTCCATTACTAACACCGCCATCCACATCGTCATCGTCATCGTCATCATCGTTGTGGCTGTTGCCTTTGGGGCTCGTTGCCAAGTCTGAGAGCTTTCGCAGGCGGTCCCGCACGGGCGACACTGAAAACGCCGCAATGTATGCACGACACAGCGCAAAACTTCCGCGCACAGCCACAGATGGCCTATATGTTTGTGTATGTGTGTGTATGTGTGTGGGTGGGTGAACGTGTGTGTGTTTGTGTGTGTACGTGTGTGTTTGTGTATGTGTGTGTGTGTGGATGTGTGTTTGTGTTTGTATGTGTGTGTGTGTGTGTGTTAGAATGGCGCGTGAGAGTTTTACTGGCGCTGGTTGTCTCACACAAAATGGCAAGCG